TTCTCTGCTCCTGCTCATGGCCTAGGACTGCCAGAGCCTCCCTGCTGAGTGTCTGCTGAGGAGTCAAGGATACAGGAGGAGAACCCCAAGGAGGAACATAGGGAGTTTCCCAGTCCTGGTTCAGAGAAGTCCCTACTTCCTGTCTTGACGTGGGGTACATTCTCAGGAGTCACCTCCTGGAAAATGGAAGCCAGGAGGGGAGCAGGGAGGAATGAAAGGAACAGGAAGCAGGAACATCCAGCCACCTCATGGAGGCTTGCTCTCAGCTGATGCTGGGGAGCTGTCCCTGAGGAGGCAACCCATTCTGCTCCAGCTCAGGAACCCACCTGTTCTAACTGCCTCAGCAGGAAGTTACTGCACCCCAGTGCGACCTTGTCCACAGTCCATCTATGTTACCTGGAGACTCTCACCTCAATTACCTATACCACGAGGGCCTGTGTCCCCGTGTGTACAGGCAGGCTCCAGCCTGCTGCATCCTCTCCCTGCACTCCATTAATTCCAAGTGACCCAGTTCCCATCCCAAAGCTGTGTTAGGGCACCTGCCCTTCACAGCCAGGACCAGAGCAGGTGTGCCTACCTCAGGCAAGGCCTGATTTTTTTTTCTTTTGTCATGTAAAAAAATCTGAATTTGAAACAGAAACCAGAAAACAAACAACAACAATAAAACAGGAACTAAAACCTCCACTCTGGAGTGACTCTGCCCAGGAACACCCTACACCAGCCCTGGATCCACACCAATCTCCAAGCCCCCTGTTCACTGGCTTCCTCCCCACCTCTGCTGCTTAGGCAGTCAGGTCATTTGCTCAGCACTTGGCCAACCCACACAGCACAGCAGTCGTGTTGACGAATGAGAGAGAAAAAACTGCAGAGACGTGACCTCGCTCAGCGCGGCTCTCATTAAGGAAATAGGCAACAGATAGTCAGGGAGAGGGACACGTGTTCGTCATGGGAATGTAAGTTCGTCTGGCCACTGTGGAAATCAGTATGGAGATTCCTCAAAAATATGAAAATAGAACTTCCGTAAGACCCAGTTACCCAGCTCAAGGGTGAACACCCAAGGGAACCTCCATCAGTGTGTTAGAGGGGTGCTGGTGCATCCTGGTTTATCAGCGTGATTCACAGTAACTAAGATATGGAATGAAGAATCGTGCACATCCACAGACCACATGCATGATGACAAAGTGGTATACTAACCATGGAATTTCATTCATCCTTGAAGATGAATGAAAGTATGTTGTCTTCAGGAAAATGGATGGAACTGTGGGTCAGTGTTTTGACCAAAATAAGTCAGACTTAGTGTTAGTTATTTTGGTGGCACTCTTACCCTGTGAGGAAATATCGCGAAACACGACAGAATCCACTAACAAGAGTTTTATTAAGATAAGAGAGAGACAGGTGTGCTCAGGCCTGCGGAAAGACTCATGCATAAAGAAGGAAGCCGGGAATATGGCACCAGCTCATAAAGACTGGGTTGCGCATGCATACAGAGGTTCATGTATACACAGGCTCATGTGGCTACTCCATGCCTGCGCTGTGTGCTTTATGCAACCATGGAAAGCCACGGGATCCTGGTCACGCGAGACATTTTGACCCAGAAATGGCTATTTTGACCCGGAACTGGTCAAAATAGGTCTGCTGGGCATGCCCAACCATGGGGGCGTGTTGTGAATCTATCACTTAGAAGACAAATATTGAGTGTTTTCTTTCAAATATGGAACCTAGATCTCTCTCTCTCTCTGTCTCTCTCTCTCTGTCTCTCTCTCTCTGTCTCTCTCTCTCTCTCTCTCCCTCTTTCTCTGTCTCTCTCTCTCTCTGTCTCTCTCTCTCTCACACACACACACACACACAGTATAAAAGAAAAGTGAGGACTATTTAGTCAAAGGCAGACTAGTAACAGGAGATGGTACAGAGTGAATATAGTCAATTTACATAAGCTTGAATGAGTATGGCTTTTTGAAACCCATCATTTTAACAATAAATAGAGTTAATAAAAAAGAAAAAAACATTCAATAGAATAAGGGAGGGAGGAAAGTTTAGAGGCAGGGAGCTCAGAGAACCCAGCAGGCCCTGGTATTCTTGAGGAAGGCTAGGAAGCATGTGGATTCCTCAGGGTAAATATTCCCTTTTACTAAATGAGGCAGCCTGAAAACCTTGACAGGTGCTGGGGTATCAGCCCCTGACACATGAAGAAACCACAGGTCAGCGTGGAGGGTCCCACCTACCAGCGACCCCCATATGCTGCCGATCTTAGCATTTCTATCACAACAGGAATACTCTTCACTGACAGTTGATTTTTAGTAGTGTGACATTTGAAATGTCATTTTCAAATGTAAGAGGCACACCCACCAGGCATGCTACAAATAACTCGTCTTCACTCCCTTCTCTTTAATATAATAACCTCCACATCCCTGAGAACATACATTGTTGGTAAGTCACTTGGGCTGGAACCTGACCTCAAGGGACCTGAGAATATTTGCAGCCATTACACTGTTGGTCTCATTTCATGGAAAGCGCCCCTGTTCTGCTGCCATCGTGAATAAATGCCTGGACTGCTGGGACTGCCCCTGGATGCCTCCTCCTTTCTTCTTCTTCCTTTTGCATCTCTCCCTCCTCCTCTCTCTCTGTCCTCCCTCTCTCTCTCTTCTCTTTCCCTCAAAGGAAGTCTTGCTATGTCACTCAAGCTGTCCTCAAACTCACAATCCCCCTGCCTCATCTTCGATGTGCTGGGATTATGGGTCTACACCATCACTTCAGAATTGCATTTCTCACAGATTAGAAATGCTAATTAATTGAATATTTCAGAAGAGGTAGTAGTGATAGTGAGAAATGAATTTTGAACATTCTTTTTTCTAATGATTTATTTTCATTTTATGTGAACTTGGATTTTTCCTGAATGTATATCTATATGAGAGGGCTGGATATCATAATGCTATAGTTACAGACAGTTATGAGACACCTATGAGTGATGGGAATTGAACCTGGGTCCTCTGGAAGATCAGCTAGGGTCCTTAACTACTAAACCATCTCTCCAGCCCTCTTTTGATCATTCTTAGCTGAATGACAAATGTTTGAACTAATAACATACTAATTTTCCATGAAATATCATACTGTGTTACATATATACTTACAATTACAATGAGACAATTAAAAATGAAAATCCAAGGTCACTTAAAAGTATTGTGAAGGATTTAGATTCTGAATGAGTTGAGTGTTTGCATGTATATGTGTGTGCGTATGGACGTGCATAGAATAATCCATGAATACTCACTCTTCCTCTGCTGTTTCCTCTGGTGTTGTCAATTCCATTTCCTTTTTATGTTTTTTGTTTTTCAAGACAGGGTCTGACATTGTCGCTCTAGCTGTCGTGGAACTCACTATGTAGACCAGCAGGACGTGGAACTCACATACATCCACTTGCCTCAGTCTCCCCATGCATGCGCCACTGTGCCTGGCTGCATTTCCTTTTCAAGGTTCTTCTATTGGCTCTGTGGACCATTCGTTCATTTATTCATGATGAGTCAGTTTCTAAACTGGTATTACTCACCTTTGTCATTGTTGTAACTAATGACAACATTATTTTCCTTATAGTATTGCACATTTATTATAATTTTGCATATTTTGGTCCATCCTGGAAGGGAAGCAGGAGGAGAGCTCACATCATGGCACACAAAAAGCTGTAACATGAAAGGTCCAAGACAAGATGACCCTCAACCCAAAGACTCATTCCAACTGCCCTCCTGACATCAAGCAGGCCCCCCTTCCCATGGTGCCTCAGCTCAGTCTTTGAACCACTCATTAGCTCAGAGCAATTCTGCTCTACTATAACTGGAAGTCCCCTCACAACTGCCCAGATAAGATCTACTGATTTCCAAGATATTCATTAGTCCAGTGGATTGAAACTGGGGATTAATAACTAACCATTCTGGTGTCAATAGTCACGTTTGAGGCTGGAGTGGATCAGTGGTTAAGAGCACTTGCTGCTCTTGTAGAGGACCTGGGTTCAGTTCCCAACACCCACATCAGGTTCACAGCAGTCTGTAACTGCCACTCCAGGGGACCAAGGCCCACCTTGGGCAACACACACACACACACACACACACACACACACACACACACACACACACACACACACGGTGCAAAGACATACATACAAGCAGGCAAAGATTCCTATACATAAAATAAAAACCAAGGGGAAAAGTCACATTCAAGGTCCGTGCCACAGGCACATAGGAGATGGAAGTCATCAATGGAATCTCCTCCCTCTTCCTGGGTATTAGGAGCTCATTTCCTACTTGGTCTGAGCTAAAAATGATATGATATGTGTCTCTGCAAAGCACCATAACACAGCTCTCGTACATTGGTCTTCTCAGGATGCCATCGCAAAGCAACACTGGGTAGGTGATTTAAAAAGAAAAGACCTCTTCTCTCACTCTGCTGGAATCAAACATCCACAGTCAAAGTGTGGCAGGTTAGCACTGCTGAGCTCTGTCTTCCTGGTGGGCAGAGAAGTCTGTACCCTGTGCTAGCCCATGGGCTCCCTCATGTGTCTGGAGAGAAGAAGAGAGGCAGGAAAAGAGAGAAAGGAGGGGGGAGATAGAGAAGTGGGGAAAGGGTGGGAGGGAGTTTCTTCTGGCTGCTATAAGGACCCTAATGCTATGGGTTAAGAACCTCACTCACAACCTCACTTGGTTCCTTAGCAGCTCTATCTCCAAATACAGTCACTAGTGGTTAGAGCTTTTACAAATGAGTTAAGGGACACAACTCAGCTCCTTCCACTAGTGACATCAAAATTTACCTCAAGGGACAGATGCTCAGAACCACATTTACAAAGCTAGTTCCCGAAGCCATTCAAGCGCCAATGCACAGTCCTCTAACCATATTCCTTTTCCTTCCCATCTAGAGAGAAGAGGCTTCATTGAGTCTGTGGTTGAGTACCTCTGGGACACAAGGAGCAAGGAGGACCTGAAGCTCCAGCTGAATGAAGTGGTAGAGCGGCAACAGCTTGTGGAAGGAGCTGCTTTGTCCAGTTTCAATCTAATTAATTTGATGTTGGCTGCCGGCTTGCTGTGTATTGCTTATATTACATTTAGGTATGTTCCTTGTATCCCTGATCTCTCCAAGACCTTTATCATGAAGGGGTGTTGGATTTCGTCAAAGGCATTTTCGGCATCTAATGAGATGATCATGTGGGTGTTTTTCTTTCATTTTCTTTATATGGTAGATCACATTGACAGACTTATATGTGGAGCCATCCCTGCATCACTGGGATGAAGCGTGGTTGATCATGGTGGATGATTTTTTTTTTTAAGATTTATTTATTTATCATGTATTCAGTGTTCTGTCTGCACATATCCCTGCAGGCGAGAAGAGGGCACCATCTCATTACAGAGGGTTGTGAGGCACCATGTGGTTGCTGGAAATTGAACTCAGGACATCTGGAAGAACAGCCAGTGCTCTTAAAAGCTGAGCCATCTCTCCAGCCCATGATTTTGTTTTGATATGTTCTTGGATTCAGCTTGTCAGTATTTTATTGAGTGTTTTCACATCAATGTTCATGTGTGAAATTGGTCTATAATTCTCTTTCTTTGTTGCATTTTTGTGTGGTTTGGGTGTCAGGTTAACTGTAGCTTGATTTTAAAAACTGCACCTGGATTTCTTTGTGGCCCCTGCAAGACGAACTCAGATCTACTTTGCATTGCAAACATTTTACCAGCTTAGTCACATCCTCAGGCTGCATCTAGGGCTTTATGGGAGAATTTTCTGTTGTCCTCAGGAAACAGGTCAGCATAAAGTACGTGGTCAGCATGAAATACGTGCCCAGCACATTGTAGGTGTTCATTGAAAGCTGATTTTTTACAAAAGATTTTATTTTAATTTCTATGTGCCCTTGTGTGTGTGTGTGTGTGTGTGTGTGTGTGTGTGTGTTGAAGTTTTTTGGTTTTTTTTGTTTATTACAGAGCTTAGGTCCAAACCCATAGCCTTGTGGTTGATAGGCAAGTGTTCTACAACTGAGTTAAATCTCCAACCCCTACATGAGATAATTTTACTGGTATCACTAATGGTGTGGACTGACTGGTGTCTTTAAACTCATTTGGAAAAGCCCTAAGCCCAGGTGACTGTATTTAGACAATGAGCCTTTAAGGGACCACATCATTGAAATTAAGTGAGGCATGAGTGAGTTCCCTATCCAAGTGTTAGCAATGAAGGCCAAAGAGGACATCAGACACCGTTCAGCTTAGAGCCACTAAGTGTGGGTTGTGGGAACCAAACTCACTTTTCCTGGAAGAGAAGTACATGATCTGAATGAAGGAGCCATCTCTCCAGGCCCTTTAAGAACAATTACCTTTATCTACCTGAAAATCATCAATTTGTTTAGACTGGATGACCAGAGAACACCAAGGATCCTCATGACTCTGCATCCCCAAATAGAGTTTGCAGGCCATGTCCAGTAGCTGGCTTTCTATGTGGACTCTGGAAGACTGAACTCAGAGCCAATGTTTGCATGGCAAACACTCTACCAACTTAGCCACATCCACAGTCCTCTTCAAGGGCCTCAGGGGGATTCTACTGTTGTCCTCACGACATGGTGCAGTCATGTGACAGTTCACATGGAGTGTCACACACCAAGAAAGCTCCCAGGGGAAGGAACAATTATTCTGATATAAGTTAACAGTCAGGAAGATGTTGTTCAGGACAGTTGCTCTAAGGAAAGAGACAGAACAGTTCTGGATATACATTCAGCTGGGGACTCTAGAGGACAAGCTGAGTGAGGGGCAGTAGACAGCAGAGAGTAGGGGCACTGGGCAGCTGACCTCAGGTATCCTCCTGAGGGGAGTCAAGGCCTAAGACCGCGGAAGTTAGACACAGGAACCTGATTGAGTACCAAGTATCAGAGGTAGGGCAGTCTCACAACCTGACAGGATTCTTGACAAGCCTGGGCAGGGCACACCCACCATACACAGGAAAGGCATGGAAAGCCAAGACAGATCCACACTCTGGATGTTGTTTAGAAATAAGTAATCTTTACTCAAGGAAAAATTTTGTCAACATATAAGCCTCTGTGTCCAGAAGTTTGTTGGGCCTTAATCATATACACAGCCCCAGAGGGACCCGGGGTCTGCCTCCCTCCTGGAGTCCATGCCTTTAGTGTCTAGTTCCCCTGCAGGTCAGAAATGACAGCAAAAATCCCACCACACATCACCTTTCTCAGGCTGGGAATTCAGTCTGGGGACTGCTAGGGAACCTACGTGTTCTGAACTCAGTTTTACCTGCTACTGAAACACTTGTAGAGGCACAGTGAGATTTCTTGGGGACAGGACACATATCAATGCGGAATCCGCTCAAGTTTCTTTTACTTCTACTCACAGCCAGAAAAGGACTTTCTGTGCTGTGTTTTGAGTGGATGGATCTCACCTGTGAGCTGCCCCACCAGATCACACATGTACACAGCACTGCAGTGAAAAAAGAATTCCCATATAGGGTTTCCCTCTTAGGAATATACACTTTGGAGACTCTCAAAATCCAAGTACTCCAGCAAACATGGAAATCTCTGACCAGCAGGACATAGGCCATATCTCAGCAAGTAAGGTCATAGAAGATTTTTTTGGGGGTGGGGGGACAGTGAACTAAACAGGGAATAGTAACTTTTCCTAAAACAAAGAATTATTTTTTTCCTCTAAATCCTCTTTTATGTGTTTGTTTAGAGTTCCTACAGAAAAGTATTTTAGTAGTGATAACATTGACCTGGAAGGGAAGCCATCTTTATTAAATATCTAGCAATACAGAGGTGTGTTAAGGGACTAGAGATGTCTCAGTGGTTAAGAACTCTGGCTGCTCACCAGAGGAACCAGGTTCGATTCCCAGCACCATCATGATGGCTCACAACAGACTCTAAAGCCAGTCCTAGGGATATGATGCCTTCCTCTACCCTCCACTGGCACCAGGCATGCACATGGTAAACACACACACACACACACACACACACACACACACACACACATACTCAAGCACGTGTGCGCACATGCAAAACACTCATACTACATAAAATAAATTAAAAAGACACATGAATGGGTTTAACTCATTGTCTTTTTAACAATTCAAGACATTGTGGTGTGTCAAGTCTTCTCGTAGGTATAAGAAAGATCCAATACAACTGTAACACTCTCCGCCATTTCATGAGAGCAGATGCTCTGTGGTTTCCACAGGACAGATCTAAACTACAAGCTGTCTTTCTCACTCAGTTGTCCTCTCCTGTTACAGGAAAAAGAAAGATGACTGGTGTGAAGCTCTTAGTAAGAACATAGTGGCTACTGATGTAGGTGATGACAACAAGGTCCAAAATGACCTGCAGGAGAAGAAAAGGTTTTTGGAAGTTTATCCTCAGGTGAAACTGGAGCTTGAGCAGCAGATCGGGAAGCTGCGCGCCCTTGCAGACAAGATTGACAAGGTGCACAGGGACTGCACCATCACACAAGTGGTGGCCAAATCTACCGGTGCTGTGTCCGGAGTCCTGACCATCCTTGGTCTCGCTCTGGCACCTGTGACAGCAGGAGTCAGTCTGGGACTTTCAGCCACAGGCTTGGGGCTGGGGGCGGCAGCAGCAGTGACTACTGTTTCTACAAGCCTTGTGGAAAAGGTCATCACGGCGAAAGAGGAAGCTAAAGCCAGCCAGCTGGTGCCAACCAGCAAGAACCAAGAGGAGGTCATTAAAGAAGTTGTGGAGGAGAGTACACCTAAGATTGTTTCTGTATATAAGAATTGCTTCCAGAACCTGGAAGACATCAAGAAGAACATTGATGCCATCAAGCTGGCCAAAGCTAACTCTCACCTAAAAACTAATGCCAAGCATCTCATGACCACAGGGAGGGTGTCAGCCCAAAACACTAAAAAGGTAGAGAAAGCCTTTGGAGGCACAGCTCTGGCAATGTCCAAAGAAGCCCGGATCATGGGTGCAGCCACCACAGGTCTCTCCATCCTGATGGATGTGGTCAGCCTTGTGCAAGACTCAAAGCATTTGTACGAGGGTGCGAAGACAGAGTCCGCTGCAGAGCTAAGGCAGAAGGCTCAGGACCTGGAGCAGATGTTGCAGGAGCTCATCCGGGTCCATGACAGCCTGACAAAGTGACCTCTTCTTCAGTGCAGCTCAGAGGACTGGGGATGGGGGATGCTCTAGACACCTGATAGCCCCTGTCTGTATCCCCTCTACAGCAACGTCACCATGGTGGAAGTGCCTGCTAGAGGGGGAGGCCACGTTAAGAGAAAGGAAGTCAGAACACAGATGGGACAGGATTGGGACCTCCCAATAGACTTCACTTCTTAGATCCAACAACCTCCCAACATCCTACATGAGGACCAAGCTCCCAAGCTGTGGTGCACATCTAAGGTCTGACTTAGCCTCAGCATGGCTGCTCCTCAGTCATGCCCACCACACTGCTCCTAGCTGGGGCTCACCATCCTCACTGTCCTCGGAGCTGCCAACTTTCATACTGCTTTCTGATTGGTTGCATAGAGGCCTTATTCTCCTTCCTAGATCTGCCTAATTCTTTGTTTTTCCAAGTATTTCCAAGTCCTGCAATCAGACTCTGGAAGGAACACCATTTATTTGTTCATGATTTTGGTCATCTGGAGTGATGGGTGTGTTGGTGAAATGCTCATAGAATAGAAAGGGAAGGATACTGGGAATGTCATCTGCACGGTCATCACAGCTTCTTGGTCCTAGTGCCAGCCATGTGTCCTACAAGGAAGGAGAGGTGACAGGGTATGGTTGGTCAGTTCTGCTCTCTGCTACCAGATTCGGGGGAAATCACAAGGTTTAATTCCTATTGACATTTAAAATCTGCTGTGATACTCATTCAGGGCTACACTTGGTCCGTAGTATTTGAGGAGAAGACTAGTGAACACTGACTGGTCATGCTTGTGTAATTTCTGCAAATGATATCCTGTGTTTTCTAGATTGTTGACTATAAAGTTGACCATTTCCTCCTGATTTTTATCATCTCCTCTTTTAAAACCTGTTTTTTCTTATGGATTATTAAAAAATATTTGAAATTTAGACAAGAAGCATTTCCTCCTCTTTGCTGCCCTCCCCTTCTGGCCTCAGATGCTCCCCTGAGGCTGCAACACCGAGTGGTGTCCCCTCCTCCCTTGCAGCTCAAGCGCCTTCCACCCAAGTTCTCACCAATGGAGACTGACGGATGACCTGTGCATAGTCTAGGTCTTGTCCTCTAGAGGAACTTTCTTGTGTTCCACAGCGCCTTCTGTCCTTCCTGGACTGGAATGTCTGCCTAAGGGAAAGCTGGATGTGGACAGAATCATCTCCCTGGGGTGCAGAGCAGGGACAGAACAGAGTCCTGGACAAACTTAGGAAAGAAAGGGACATGCATCCTGAGCTGCCTAGCAACTTGCTCCTAGTGTCCAAGTTGAGTCCTCTCTACTGTTGAGCCCATGTGCTATGTTAGTGAACTCTGTGCCAGCTGCTCAGCATCTGTCCCTTAACTCACTCAAGAGCCATCACCAGAGCTCACCACACCCTTGACCTTGAACCCTGCACTCTTTCCTGACTGTCAGTCTGGCCCTTTGGGACATCAATTATTGAAGAGCTTGTCCCTTTGTCCTTGCACTCCTCCAGGCTCTCAGGGCTATGGGAACCACTGCACCACAGCCCTTTGAATCAATGACCACTAGGTGTCCAGTGCCCAGTGTCCAGATAGATCCCTGCAGCCTTCCAGTCCAGGGCCACCTCACCTCCACAGTTCTGCCCACCTAGGAACAGACCTTCCTTTACGAAGGAGACAAACAAGCCATGGTGGGTGTGGGGGAAGAATGGAAACGACCTGTTGTCACTTCTCATAGATACAGTGTTACTTTATGGGTGGTGAAGTTATCCTAGTAGGCAGCAGAATATTTTCAAAAGAGATAGACATATAAAAAGAAATTAAAATGAATTCATGTGATGTAATAATGTGTCTCAGGTTTTGAAATTGCTATCAAAAAAGAAAAGACTGTAGAAGGAGACCAGAAAATGCTCAGAGTTAAGTAGACGACACTGAAAAGGACATGACAGATGGACAGAGTGAAGGAAAGACAGTGCAGAGGAGAAGCTGTGACCAGGTCTGTCCCTGCCAAACACAAGTGACAGACAACAGGACTGTGTCTGCAGCTGCTGCCCCTGCAGGGATACTGCATTCAGATCAGACACTCTGAGGGTGTCCTGGGATATGGGGAAGACTAGGAGAGTTTTCATATTGAGCTGGGAATCCTCAACCACAGAAAGGGAAGAATTAATGGTGCCCACACCATTGCAGATGGATGTCAATGGCATGTGCTTAGTCAAAACAGAGCCATTTGTAATGGGTTATAACATCTGTGATTTCTATTATGAAAATAAACTATGAAATGACAAATGATGGATGAAGTAGAGGGTTGGGCAGTTGCCTTATGAATAGGGAAAGTTCAGGATCCTGAGGGCTTTACACCAGGATGTTGCTTTTCGGTGATAGAAAATTCTTGACTTTGATGTTCACAATGATTCTATGAACCCAT